ATGGATATTGTTTTAAAAATCAATTTGTGTTAGTACAAGATTTATCACAAGAATTAATTCTAGGAACCCCATTTGTTACTCAAATTTATCCATTTGAAGCCAACGAAATAGGAGTAACTACCAAAATAATGGGAACCAAATTAACATTTGAATTCTTAAACCCTATAAAACGAAAAGAGGTCTTAGAACTTCAAGAAAATACTATTCAAAAAACAATAAACTTAATAAAGAGCAAAGAAAATCACATTCAATATTTACAAGAAGAAATTTCTTATAAAAAAATAGAAGAAAAACTCCAAACACCTTGTGTTCAAAATAAAATTAAAGAAATCGAGAACAAATTAATAGAGCAAGTATGTTCAGATTTCCCTAACGCATTTTGGGAAAGAAAACAACATACAGTTGAACTACCCTATATTAAAGACTTTAACGAAAAAAACATTCCAACAAAAGCAAGACCTATTCAAATGAATAAGGAATTACTCGAAACATGTAAACAAGAAATAAATGATTTATTAAAAAAGAAATTAATAAGACCTTCAAAATCGCCCTGGAGCTGTGCAGCATTTTATGTAAATAATCAAGCGGAAAAGGAACGTGGAGTACCACGATTAGTAATCAATTATAAACCGTTAAACGATGTTCTACAATGGATTAGATACCCAATACCAAATAAAAGAGATCTATTAAATCGATTATATGATGCAAAGATATTTTCAAAATTTGATATGAAAAGCGGATTTTGGCAAATACAAATATCCGAAAAAGATAAATACAAAACAGCATTCACTGTACCATTTGGACATTACGAGTGGAACGTAATGCCTTTTGGTTTAAAAAACGCACCAAGTGAATTTCAACATATTATGAACGACATATTCAATAATTATACTAAATATACAATAGTATACATAGACGATGTATTGGTTTATTCAAACTCAATCGACCAACATATTAAACATTTAGAAACATTTTTTCATACAGTTAAAAAACACGGTTTAGTAATATCAGCGAAGAAAATATCGTTATTCCAAACTAGAATAAGATTTTTAGGTCATAACATATATCAAGGAACTATAGTTCCTATTGCAAGATCAATACAATTCGCCGATAAATTCCCAGACGAACTAAGAGAAAAAACTCAACTTCAAAGATTTTTAGGATGTCTTAATTATGTCTCAGATTTTCTTCCAAATCTTAGAAAAACTATTCAACCGTTATTTCAAAGATTACAAAAANCGCCGATAAATTCCCAGACGAACTAAGAGAAAAAACTCAACTTCAAAGATTTTTAGGATGTCTTAATTATGTCTCAGATTTTCTTCCAAATCTTAGAAAAACTATTCAACCGTTATTTCAAAGATTACAAAAAAATCCTAAACCTTGGACAGATAAACATACTAATTTAGTTAAACAGGTTAAGCAAAATATAAAAACCCTACCCTGCCTATCTATTCCACACCCTGAAGCCAATATGATAGTAGAAACAGACGCCTCTGAAGTAGGCTATGGAGGAATCCTTAAGCAAAAACTACCCAATCAGACCAAAGAAACGATAGTTAGGTTCCATTCCAGAGCCTGGACAGGATCCCAAACCAACTACTCTACTGTTAAAAAGGAAGTTTTGTCAATTGTAAATTGTATTTCAAAATTTCAAGACGATTTAATAAATAAAAAGTTTTTACTTCGCGTAGATTGCAAATCAGCAAAAGAGATTTTACAAAAAGATGTCAAAACTTAGTTTCAAAACAAATTTTTGCGAGATGGCAAGCGATTTTATCCGTATTTGATTTCGATATTCAATATATAAAAGGTAAAAATAATTCTTTACCTGATTTCTTAACTCGTGAATATTTACAGGGAAAAGGTAATCAAGAAAATATTCAACATGACGGATAAAAAGAAAAGACCGATGACAGCCCTCGACTATATCAAAAATCAACCCCGTCTTCAAGACAAACATCTTACTCAAACTACCAATACCTACTCAGCCCTTGCGGAGTTTCCACCGCTATCTTATGCAAAAGCAGCCAACCCAAACACTGGACAGTCCTCTTCACAACCAACGACCCCTACTCAGAAATCCGACTACTACACAAAACCTTACTACAAACACCTACATACAACCCATTTCCCAAAGCCAATAACCCTAAAGGAACTTCAAAACTATATCAATCGCGTCTTCTATGAAACAAGCCAATGGACAACCGACAATGTAACCAAAAACCAAACCTTCTATGAGTACATTCTAGTAGACTCTATGTCTGCTTCAATCGTACATCATAAAAATCCAAAAAACCCAGACCAAATAGACTACTCAACCTGCAAAATTATCCGTGTTGCATCTTACCGAGACCTTGGATTCTCCAACCTTCATACTCAAAAACCTTTCAATACTCCCGGATTCTATATACCCGGATATACCTACACAGATTACCAAAACGCCTTTTTCTATACACTTTTTATTAGACCATTTACCCATTCATGGTTTATCCAGTTCCAATTCAATTGTCCCAAACTCATACCAAACTGGTTCTACGAATGGTGGTACTGGTTCGGTCCAGTTGACCAAATCTACCCAGAAACCATACTCAAAACATCTTTACCATACTATCAAAAGCAAACACCTCAACCACCCATTCCAATCTTATCCAAAATAGCCTTCCACATCGACATGGGAATACCGTGGATTTTTAGTTGGCACTTCCACCTTATACAACTCCAATCAGACATGCCAATGTCCCTCGTCAAGCAATTCCGCGTCAAATGGTGGGATAAATACGATCGAGAAAGATGCTCAATCACCAGCATGCAAAAATTCTTCACTACCAACAAAGAAATAGAAAGGTCTGTTATTCAACTATCAAGATCAATCCCGACTCAAGACCAGCAGCAACATGCCCGACAGCTAATTCAACAATTTGGCCAGGATCCTCAGCAACAACGACCAACCAGCCCAACAGGATCAACCTCATCTATCAAATCAAAAGGCAAGAAAGCTGCCTTAAAAAAAATATTTCAAGCACTTCAAAAAGCGATCGACATTTCAGACTCTGATTCTGACTCTGAAGAAATTAACCAACGAGACGACCCTATGCAAGATATGGAGGATCCATTCGGCGGCCCTTGCGCCCAAGACCCCAACGAGATATAAAAAAAAAAACAAAAAAAAAAAAAAAAAAAAAAAAAAAAAAAAAAAAAAAAAAAAAAAAAAAAAAAAAAAAAAAAAAAAAAAAAAAAAAAAAAAAAAAAAAAAAAAAAAAAAAAAAAAAAAACAAAAAAAAAACAAAAAAAAACAAAAAAAAAACAAAAAAAAAAAACCTAATAGTATTGTATAGTTTTTAAACTTCGCTTTACAATTATTCTAAGACACATATGCAGATGCGTTCCCGGTTATAAGTCCTGGACAAAGGCAGTAAATCCGTTGGTAAGCTACTGCGGTGTCAAGGAAGAAATTGATAAAATGAAGCATAATCATGTACATTCTAGTAGACTCTTTTTATTATTTTAATATATTATATTCTCTTTACTACTTCTGTACTCTAAAATAATAAATAGAGTATATATATATATATTTTGTAAATTTGTAATACGCAAGCAGTTCTAGAAGCAGTGACGTAAGCAATGACGCAAGCAGTTCTAGAAGCAGTGACGTAAGCAATGACGCAATAACGATGTCGGCACCATTAGATGGAAGACACATGTACTCAACCAAAGAATTAACGTCCAGACTCAAGCTCATCAAGTAAGCTTCTTCACCTATAAATAAGCAAGCTATGGAAACAAAGGGGGCATCAGAAGTTCTCTTCAGCTCTCTCAGTCTAAAATATTCTCACTCTAAAAACTCTTTGTATTCTCATTTCCTTTGTAATACCTCCCAAAAATTTGTAAGTCTCAAAATCTTGTAATCAAAATTTCAGTATAAATAAAACAAAATTTTAATCAGATTACGTTTTCAAAATACAAAGTCTAGCTACATTTATAGCAACCCGAATCCAAGAAACTCTGACTATCCGTTAATATCCTCAAAGGTTAATACGGTGTGACAGCAGTGACGTAAGCAATGACGCAAGCAGTTCTAGAAGCAGTGACGTAAGCAATGACGCAATAACGATGTCGGCACCATTAGATGGAAGACACATGTACTCAACCAAAGAATTAACGTCCAGACTCAAGCTCATCAAGTAAGCCTCTTTACATATAAATAAGCAAGCTATGGAAACAAAGGGGGCATCAGAAGTTCTCTTCAGCTCTCTCAGTCTAAAATATTCTCACTCTAAAAACTCTTTGTATTCTCATTTCCTTTGTAATACCTCCCAAAAATTTGTAAGTCTCAAAATCTTGTAATCAAAATTTCAGTATAAATAAAACAAAATTTTAATCAGATTACGTTTTCAAAATACAAAGTCTAGCTACATTTATAGCAACCCGAATCCAAGAAACTCTGACTATCCGTTAATATACTCAAAGGTTAATACGGATTGAACACCTCTAATCCGAATGAAACCGAACTATTGTTTCATTTTAAAAAACATAATAAAAATAATAGCTTTATCCCGTGCAAGACGCGGGTCTTGTCCTAGTTGTTATATATTTTGTTATAAATTTGATTTGTTTCAATTTTTATCGACTTACACGTTTCTAAAATTTGTTTCGAATATTTTCTTCTCAATCCAGGGATATTTTCGTTATTCAATATATTTTTATATATTAATTATCTTGAAATATGTGAGTTAACCAGTATAAAAAGATCGAGTTTTCCGATAAATGATATAACTCAAGTTTAAGCTCTTTTATGTTAAATATAAAAAAAATACCTATTCATATTATAAATGTATGCATAAATAAAAAAAATTTATATTTTTCATTTATTTTGAAATATGTGGATCTCTACGAAGATACCGAATTTTTTATATAACTCACTATTAAAACACACCAAGATGCTGAAATTTTAAAAAAAAAACAAATTTAGGTTTAAGATTAGACTGTAATGGTGTTATGTTATTTCGAATGATCCTCCATGAATAAATGTTCTTAGGGAGAGATGAAACTTTTCAAATCCTGCATGCATGACACTTCAAGGAGGTTTTAGATTCCGGGGGATTAGTTTTAAACCGGATTTTTGGAAATATGAAAAATACAAAGAAATTGTAACTTGAGGCCCAAATGGCCCAATAGGTGCCCACTAGAATGCATACAAACATTTCGACAAAAAAGGATTACTAAACGCCGGTTGTATCGATTGTAGTCAAGTACGTTCTTGTCAGTAAACATCTGGGACATGAGGAACCGAATGAACCTTCTTGTTTCTCTCAACACAGAGAGAGGTTGCAACAGACCACGAAGAGTTCATCTAAAGTCAGGTTGTGAACTCGTAAGCGTTTGGGACATCATGAACCGGATGACCCTTCTGGTTCCTCTCAATGATCCTCCATGCCAACGCTACTTGTTTCCCCACTACAAAGACGAAAGCCTTTCCTTCTCCTCTAGCCCCTCTCGCTGTTCTTCCAACACGTCTTACGTATTCACTAGGGTCACGTGGGAAATCAAACAGCACCACATGATCAACACCAGAGAAATCTATCCCACGAGAAGCTCTGCCAATGTTTTTTGCAAACAGGAAACATAGTGTTAACATCTCCAATGTTCAGGCAAGCATCACACAGAAAAAGATTAACGAAGTACCTATCCGTGCAGACAAGAAACAGTGAATGATCTTCGGGATGAGATGAAGTGAATTCTTCCATGTTTTTAAGCCTTGACTCTTGTGCGAGTGCTGCGTGAAACGGGAGGACATGCAGCTGCCTTTCGTTTCTATCAAGCCGCTTGAATATATTCTCAACTTTCCTACATGTCTCAATCTGGAAAATGCAGAAGGTAATACATTTAAACATGAGATTGAGATTTTCGAAATGGTTTAAGTAGGAGCAAGAGCCAGTAAGTGAGGGACCTTATTGCAGAAGATGATAGTCTTGGCAACAGGACTTTCCTCGATGATCTGAAGTAGAGCAGCTTTCTTGTTCTGAAAAGCAGTCTCAGGAGTTTTCTCTGCATTATCATCTCCACTGCAGTCAACAAGAACCTGCACAATCCAACTCATCAATTTCAGGAACGATCAGAAGAAGACTACGCAGCCATCAAGTTTACTAAAACAAAACACGCTATATTGTTGTTCCCATTATATGTACTTATGTTAATACCAACCTCTTCAAGGGCATTGCTAACACGGTGAACACGAGGTCCCATTACAACTTCACAATCAGGGAAAACTTCAACAAGTTTGTTGTATATCTCGAGGGGCAAGGTTGCTGTAACAAACAGATACTGTGCAGTCACAGGGGAAGAACTGATCAGATTCTGAAGAGCTGCCTCAAACTCCTCGTCGCCGAAGAGTATATCTACCTCATCTAATATGGCACTGCAAGACACGTTAGCAAGATTGTGCCCCGTCAATTTTCAAAACATTTCACACAAAAGTTAGCAAACATTTGAATCTTTGAAAAAATGATAGTACCATCTCAAATTTGACAGCCCCAAAATTCCTTCACTCATAAGGTACGTGAAACGTCCTGGTGTTGCAATCAAAACGTCCACACCTTGCTCTAAATTTTCAAGCTGGGTCCGTTGCTTGAAACCACCAGTCACTACCATGGACCGGAACGGGACCCCAGACTTTGAAATTAATCTACAGTTGGCAAGAACCTGCCAAGGATTTCATCAACGTCAAACAATTGTTTCTTCTAATAAAACATTCGGATACAAAAGAAGTAATGAATCAACCTACTAAGAGCATTCATATATAAAGAAACCAACCTGGGAAGCCAACTCTGCAGTCGGTACCAGAACAATAACACGAGGACAACCAGAAGACGATTTGCTCAATCCTTGAAGTTCCTCTTCCCTGAGACGCTGAATAACAGGTGCAAGATATGCCAGTGTCTTTCCTGATCCACTTTGGTCAGCTATGATACAACTCTTTCCATCAACAACTGGCGCAAAAGCCAGAGCCTGCGTCATTATAAACACACGTGGTAAGAAGAGAGCTGTACATACACATGCACCTAGATGATGAAAATAGAAAAACAAATCCTACACCTGAATCTGTGCTGGTCGATCAAAATTATTCTCCTTTAAGGCCTTCATCATATCTTCACTACATCCAACTTCTGCAAAACTTTTGCGGCTAAAAAAGCCAGTCTCCCTAGTAGACTTGGTTTTATTCTCTCTCCAATCCTCCATATCTCTAGCATATACAACAGAACGCCTATCACCCCAACCCCTGGAGTTACGAGAAGCGCCTTTTGAATTTGAAAAATGTGATCTTTCTCTCTCATTATCATTGAAATACCGAGTATCTGAAAACTCATCCATAGCTCTATCACGTCTCTGATATGTATCTGACTCTTTGCTAACAAAACGTCTATCTTCTCTTCCCCTAGAGTTGTAAGCAGAGTCTTTTGAATATGATGAACTCCTTGATCCTGCTCTTTCATTAACAGTAACAGCTCTGTCACGCCCCTTGAATGTATCTAAATCTTTTGCAAGCGGAACTCTATCTCCTCTACCCCTGGAGTTAGCAGCATAACCGTTTGAATCTGAACTCAGCGAGCGTTCTCTCTGACGATTAGAAACCTCATCATGTTCTTGTGGTCTATATATATCTCTTTGCTCTCTAGATTCTCTCACTTTGCTAAATCTTTTCACCTCTGAAGATTTTCCTGAACTAGGAATAGCCTTCATAGCCAACTTCTTCCTCATCAAATCAAGAATTGATGATGAACCAAATCCTTCACTCTCAGAAAAATCCTCATAACCGTCCTCGTCTTCTTCTTCTTCCTCATTTCGACTCACATGCTGCTTCTTCTGCGTTACCTTACCAACAAGAGCCTTCACTTTCTGCGCCTTAAGCCTCCCGAAACTCGAGTTCACTCCTCTGGAACGCGAAACATTTCTTCTCGAAGATTCTGCCACATGTCAATCACCAAATACACATATCACAACACGAACAAACAAACTCAATACCTAATACTAACATTCCACAATTCCAAGCAACAAAACTAAGTACCTGACGGGATCGAAGAAGCCAAATCAGACGGAGGCGAAGGATATAACTCTTTCTCTAGGTTTTGCGCTTTGATTACGATGAATCCATCATCGGTGGAGTCGTTAACAACCTCACTCGAGCATGAAGTCTCCAGTGACCGACGAGTGAAACCGTCTCTTCTCACCACTCCTCGTCCTCCGACGTTAGGAAACAGCCGCACAATCTCTCTTCGATAACAAACTTTACTTCTCGCCGGAAAAGGAAAAGAAGGAGGTGGAGCTCTGGCTAACATCTCAGAAATATCTTCAGTCTCTTCTCTTCCGAGAGAGATAAGATAGACTCGGTTAATAATTATCTTTATTTTAAAAAATAAAAATAAATCAAAGATAAATATCAAAGAAATTTAAAATAAAAGTAAAAAATATTTTTCTCTATTTTCCTATTTTTTTCGTTTCTCCTTTTTCCACTATGAAACTAAATTAGTATTAACACACATATATATATATATATCAGATACATCCCACCATTCTTTCCAAAACCCTAAGCGTTACGATTATATATTCTCGAGCTTTGTTGCTATTATAATCATCTTCAAGCTCTTTTGAAGAGATGGCTCAGCCAAACAATAATAACAATAACAATGGTGATGATGATCAAAAATACAAGAAGATCTTCGTTGGAGGTTTAGCATGGATAGTAACAACTGATATTTTGAGAAGATACTTCCAAGAAAATTATGGAGAGGTTGTTGATGCTAATGTTGTCAGCGAGTCTCTCCCTGGTGGTAACTTAAAATCTAAAGGCTATGGCTTTGTAAGTTCTAATTCTTCTTTTGTTTCTATAATCCATGCATGTGTTAATCTTTGTGTTCTTGTGAATTGTGGTTTTAATTGTTAGTAAAAATATAAACAATTCGTTTTGATTCTTGTGAGCTGCTACAAGCTCGAATAGATTTTTTTTTTTTTTCAGTTGTTTAGTTCTTGTAAATTGCAATATCGTACATGATAACGTTTGTTTGAATTGGTTTTGTGTAATTCAAAAACGATCCTTCTGCTTGTTTCAATAATTGGGTTTTTAGGTTAACCAAACGATTGTCCTGATGGATCTCATGTTTGTTTTGAAACTGGGCTCCTGTTATGTTATAACTGGGCTTCATAGTTTCAAGATTCCACCGTTATGTGCTAACCTCTATTACAAAATTCAATGGATTTTTTTTTTTTTTGATCAAACAAAATTCAATGGATTATTATTATTTTTTCTTCTGAATTTTGTTACGGGTTTGAGTTGTTCAGGTTACTTTTAGGGATGTTGAATCTGCCAATAAGGCTTGTGAACATCCACCTCCGATGATTGAGGGAAGACGAACCACCGTCAATCTGGCTTACCGTCGTGTAAAGAATAACGCTAACCAATCTAACCAAACCGGTTTAGTCTCTAAACTTTTAATCCTCGGGTTATTTTATAGTTACCTTTATATGATTTTCCCGCTTAATCATCAGGTTTACAACCACATCAGGCTGGACCATCCCATCAATATCAGAACGGTTTATTCTCTAAATTTAATATTGAATATTTTTTACTTTGTTTTTAGCAAAGGGTTTAGTATATTTTGTTTTCCACAAACAGCTTAACACCTTCACAAACCTTAAAATTGCAGGTTCGTTTAATCAGATGGCATGGCATCCATATCAGAACGGTTTAATCTCTAAATTTTTATTCTTTTTCTTTTTAGGAAAGGGTTTAGTATGTTTTAACAACTCTATCCACAAACAGCTTCTTATTAATCTTCTTAAGCCCTTAAATTGCAGGTTGGTTTCATCAGGGGGCGTGGCATCAGTATCCGCTATTTAATGCATTTCCACATTTTCCTCAAGGCTACTGGTAAATTCTACATATAGATTTGCTTCAAAACTAAAGTTAAAACATCTTATTTGACTTTAATGAATAACAAATCTAATCTGTTGGATTTTATTTAATTAGGGATTCACATTATGGAGCATATCGTTACATTAATGGCGTTTCACACCATCCTTGCCCCTACACCGTGGTCAGTACTTAATTATGCTCCATACTATAGTGTTTTTATCTTGTTTCATTGGTTTTCTTTAGTTAGCACTTTGAATATTTTATTGGTATTTGTGCAAAATTGCTATCAGACCAATAGTGTACGACCTGCCGGTGTTTCTCAGCCGCCTAGAGGACCAAGATTTGAGGAAATCACTGATCCCAATCCAGAAGCAGTCTCTACTGCAGATGCTGTGAGTAATGTCAACAATGTAGAGGATACAGAAACAGGCAGTGATGGTGATCAGCAAATGGGAAAGGATCAAGAAGGAGAGATCAGTAGTGGACAAGAAAGTGGTGCCGAGCAAGATGTTAAGGATGAACAGGAAAAGATTGTGAGTGGAGAAGATGATGACACCAAGCATGGTGCAGGTGTAACAGATCAGCTTTGTTTAACAATCCAAACCGAGACATCTGAAAACACACCACAAGAAAACGGTCTTGATCATGAAGAGAAGACACGACACATGGAAGTTGGACTGACCACGAACAATAATGCATATGAGTAAGAGAAGCGAGATCAATCAATTTTTATCTACTCGACCATATGTAGCTATATTTACTTATTGAGAACCAGACGATTTTCTTTATTTACACCCAAAAAAAAACGATTTTCTTTATCTTATTCATAAATCTTACAATTGCATACTAAAATGATACGGAGTTTAGGCTTAACATCGTTTTATTTATTGGTGTATAAAGAAAAGAAAATTGCATCAACATTCATAATAATTAAAAATCAGTTCAAAAAAAAAAACATTCATAATTATTAAACCATGACGTTCCTTCTAAGCATTAGGGAAGAGGGTGGTTACTATGTAATAAATTATTTAAATTAAAAACTACACAAACCCGAGTGGTCACTCTTACCTTTAAAAAAAAAAATATTATATTTCTTCGATTTATATATAGAATATAATAAAAGTGAATATTGATGTTTTCTACCATTTAAGAAACATGGCAAAGTGAATAATTAGTCTTTTACAAATAGGAAGAACAATTCAAGTTATTGGTTGAACAACACACTCAGCCGTCAGAGAAAAGTGTGTCAGGTAGGATTAGAACCTAGGTTAGAGCAACATAATTGGTGAGAACTCACCTTATCTTCTTAAAAGTGAAAAAAAATAAATAATTTTGATTAACAAAACTATTTGACCATTAAAAATTTGATACTTCGAAAACAAGTTCTAAGTCAACAAAAAAATCTCTGCAAAAAACTAGTTTAAACTCTCTCTTTTACTTTATCTATTTTCTTTATATTTATAATGTTAAGATACTCTTCCAAATGCAGCCAATGGATTTGCCCTTAGAAATGTGAAGTTTACAGATTTGAGTTCAAACTAATAGACCAAAGGAAAGTTTACAAATTTATAGCCAAAATATTTTGATAATTAACTCAGCAGTAAGCTTATACTTCATAGGCTTGACCCAAGAGTGATGCAGCGGCATCGTAGCTTAAACGTCAAGTTTCCTTTTCTCTAATTAGTTCCTTTTTACTTTAGGTTTTCGTTATGTTTTTCCAATTAGGTTAAGGATTTTTAATGACGGTTTAAGAGTTCTATATAAAGAACTCTCTTATGGTTTTTGTAGACAATTCAATTAATAAAGCTTTCAGTTTTTAAAGAGTTCTATTGAACACTGCAAAGAGTATTTGCACCCTCAAGAGTTCTAACGAACACTGNGAGTTCTATATAAAGAACTCTCTTATGGTTTTTGTAGACAATTCAATTAATAAAGCTTTCAGTTTTTAAAGAGTTCTATTGAACACTGCAAAGAGTATTTGCACCCTCAAGAGTTCTAACGAACACTGCGAAGAGTATTCGCGCCCTATCCATCGTTTCTTCAACCTCAAGTTAGGTTTATAGCTTCCGCTCTCCATCAGTTGGTATCAGAATCAGAACGTTTTTTTGGGGATTTTTATCTTGGTTATCATGACAAAAAAACCCACAGAAGGAACGTCGCTCGACATGAACGAGTTGAAAAATCTACTCGTCGATATGCAAACCTCGTTTCAGACGACGATGCAGACCTCGATGAATCAATTAGGTGAATCACTTACAACTCGTTTGGATACTATGAACACCGTTCTTGCGCGTTTGGATCTCCAAAACCAGCAACTGGCTACGGGTCCCAATCAACAACAACCTCAACACCCCATTCCTCCACTCAACAATCAACCGCAACTCAACAACCCTAATCTCCCGGGGCAACAACAACTTCCATTACAACACCATCCACCATTACCGCACCCACATCAGCAACAACAATTTCGTCACAGACAACGCAATCAGGGATACAACGAGAGAGCACAACCAACTCATTCAGATGACGAGGAAGAGCTTCATCGTCAAGTATATCTTCAAGAATTGCAGCGTCGAGATCATAATCATAATAATTGGGAGAAGAGTTTTCGCGTTGATATTCCCGAATTCCATGGGGGTTTGCGTGGAGATGATCTCCTTGATTGGTTGATTTCGGTAGAAGAGATCCTTGAATTTAAACAAGTTCCTCCAGAAAGGCGTGTCCCACTAGTGGCTATGCGATTTCGCGGTCATGCCGCAACATGGTGGAAACAGCTTAAAACTACACGTTCACGAACCGGCAAAGCTCCAATCCAATCATGGGATAAACTCACAAAACATTTGCGTCAGACCTTCTTGCCTCACAACTACGAACGTACGATGTATAATAAGCTTCAGAATCTTCGACAAGGCAATCGTAGTGTCGATGATTATGCAGAGGAATTTTCTCTATTACTAACTCGGAACGAGATCAACGACAGTCAGGTCCAACTTGTCTCGCGTTTCATTGGGGGTTTACGACCACAGCTTCAGACCGCGATGGCTCAATTTGATCCATCCACGATTGGAGAAGCCCATAGACGTGCCTCCGCCTTTGAGCAGCAATCTCGGGCCGCGACTTGGACATCGCAATCATCTCGTACACGTACTCAAGACCAGACGGGAAGCAGTGCACCATCAGCATCAACAAAAGAACCTGGTGACACCGCCAATTCCGCAACCAAACCACCACCACAAGAAGACCAACAACTCAGACGATCGTCGCGTCCCAGTGCCCTGCGTTGCTATTCTTGTGGCGAAAATGGACACCGCCAAACAGCCTGTCCTCACGCAACCCGTCGAGGATTGATCATGGACGACTCTACTGATGCACTTGATGTATACGACTCACAAGAGGAGGATAATCAAAACGACGATGACACTCATCCGACCGCTGGCGATACCGGACACCTCCTTGTTCTACGTCGGACATGTCTCACACCTCAACGCCAAGACGATAAGTGGCTTCGCACTAATATTTTCCGCTCAACTTGCACCATCAAAGATCGAGTCTGTACCTTTGTTATTGACTCCGGCAGCAGCAGGAATGTCATCTCCGAAGATGTAGTGGACAAACTTGGGATTTTACGTGAAACTCACCCGGCACCTTACACTTTAGGATGGCTTAACGACAGCGTGAATTTACGTGTTTCTCAACGTGCACTCATCCCATTCTCTATCGGCCCATATTACAATGATCGTATTTACTGCGACATTGCTCCCATGGATATCAGCCACCTGTTACTCGGAAGGCCATGGGAATATGACCGGAAGATCATGCATTGTGGTGTTGCTAACACTTATCAATTTACTTGGAACACACACAAGATTTTGCTGTTGCCATCTAAAGACACACCGCTAACAAAATCAACTCCCACTCCCGCATCTACACTCCCAGCGCCAGCACCAACTTCAAAGAAATCGTTAATCTGCACGTATGAGACATTTAAAACCGAGTTACATGAAGAAGGCATGGCTTTTGCATTAATCACAGCACCCGCCATACCCACTCTCACTTCGCCGTTGCATGATGACATTGACGCTGTCCTCAACGAGTTTCAGGATGTTTTCCCCACCGACTTACCGACATCTTTGCCCCCATTACGGGACATTCAACATCATATTGACCTTGTACCTGGCGCAACTCTACCCAACAGACCGCATTACAGAATGAGTCCGGATGAACATGAAGAATTACGCAAGCAAGTCGAAGAATTACTACGCAAGGGGCATATCCGCGAAAGTCTGTCGCCTTGCGCGGTTCCAGCTCTACTTATTCCTAAAAAGGACGGAACATGGCGTATGTGCGTCGATAGTAGAGCCATTAATAAGATTACAGTTCGCTACCGTTTCCCGATTCCGAGACTTGACGACCTCTTAGATCAAATTGGTTCAGCATCAATATTTTCCAAAATTGATCTTAAGAGTGGCTATCATCAGATTCGAATCAGGCCAGGAGATGAATGGAAAACAGCATTCAAAACTCGCGAGGGTTTGTTTGAGTGGCTCGTGATGCCGTTTGGTTTATCAAACGCCCCTAGTACCTTTATGCGTATTATGAATCAGTCACTGCGACCTTTCATCGGGAAGTTTGTAGTTGTCTACTTTGATGATATTCTGATCTTCAGCTCCTCCGTAGCCGATCACTTATCTCACATTCGAGATGTTCTTAGTGTTCTGCGACGGGATCAACTTTTTGCCGCCAAACATAAATGTGAGTTTGGAGTGCCTGAAGTTCTGTTTCTTGGTTACGTTGTTTCGGGACAAGGACTCGCCATGGATCAATCAAAAGTGGAGGCAGTTCGATCGTGGCCCGTTCCTACCACCGTCTCGGAAGTCCGCAGTTTCCATGGGTTAGCTTCGTTTTATCGCCGCTTTGTCAGTCATTTCAGCACTATTATGGCTCCTATTACAAGCTGTATGAAGGAGGGACGTTTTCATTGGACTCCGGAGGCCACTATGGCCTTTGAGCTGATTAAAACAAAACTCACCACGGCTCCGATCCTCGTCTTACCAGACTTCTCGGAGACCTTTGAATTACATTGTGATGCTTGTAAATTGGGCATTGGCGCAGTGCTTAGTCAACGAGGGCGTCCTATCGCTTACTATAGCGAGAAATTAGCCGGCGCAAGATCACGTTATAGCACCTACGATGTGGAATTTTACGCAATCATTCAAGCTATTAAGCATTGGCGTCACTATCTCGTCCACCGGGAATTTATTTTGTTTACGGATCATGATGCTTTGCGCCATCTTGATAGTCAAGCTAAAGTATCTTCTCGTCATGCTTCTTGGATCGCATATCTTCAGCAATTTACGTTCTCAATCCGTCACCAAGCTGGTAAATCAAATCGAGTCGCTGATGCATTGAGCCGTCGCCATAATGTCCTATCGATCATGCACACGTCCGTCACGGGTTTCTCCGCATTGGCCGACTTGTACCCGTCCGATAGTTTTTTCAGTCGTGTGTTTATGGAGGCTACTAATGGCGTTTCTAAAGAGTACACTTTACACGATGGCTTCCTGTTTCGAGGTTTACGTCTCTGCATTCCTGACTGCAGTCTGCGTTTAAAAATTGTGCAAGAATTGCATAATGAAGGGCATGTGGGGCGTGACCGAACTCTTCAACTCGCCACCACTTCATATTTTTGGCCATCTATGCGACGTGACGTTGAACGTTTCGTGGAGCGTTGTCACATATGTCAGTTATCAAAGGGAAAAGCGTCCAATGCCGGATTGTATCTTCCTTTACCAATTCCTACTCAGCCATGGACCGACATAAGTATGGATTTTGTTCTCGGTCTTCCTAGGACGCAGCGGGATCACGATTCCATCTTCGTTGTGGTTGATCGGTTTTCGAAGATGGCTCGTTTTGTGCCCTGCAAAACAACCTCGGATGCCGTTAATGTCGCAGTCCTCTTCTTCCGAGAAATATATAAGCTTCACGGTTTGCCCCTATCAATTGTTTCAGACCGTGATACGAGATTTTTGGGACACTTCTGGCGTTCTCTTTGGAAGATGCTGGGCACGAATTTGGATATGAGTTCGGCTTATCATCCCCAGTCTGATGGTCAAACGGAGGTCACCAATAGATCACTGGGGAATCTGCTTCGTTGCCTGGTTGGTGATAATATCAAGAGTTGGGATAGTAAAATATGTCAAGCTGAGTTCGCGCACAATCATGCCTTCAACCGTAGTTTGGGCTATAGTCCCTTTCAGGTGGTGTTTGGCGTTATTCCTCGGGCTCCAATCGATCTCACTACACTACCGGACAAGACACGGATTCATGGCGATGCGGTTGATTTTGTTTCTAATCTGCAAGATATTCATCGCCTTGCTCATGACCATTTGGCTACGTCGACAGCACGTTACAAACGTGATGCTGATAAGAAGCGCCGTGAACTTATTTTTGAGCCGGGAGATTTAGTTTGGGTTGTCCTCACCAAAGAACGCTTTCCAGCTCGCGAATACAACAAGCTCAAATCACGTAAGATCGGACCCCTCACCGTTCTCGAACGTATCAACCCTAATGCCTACCGTGTTCAGCTTCCTTCTCACTTACGCACATCCGATGTATTCAACGTCAAACATATCTTTCCTTATCATGGAGAAAACGACACTCCGGATTCGTGGCCGAATCCTTCTAACCCGCCGGGACCTGATGCAGCGGCATCGTAGCTTAAACGTCAAGTTTCCTTTTCTCTAGTTAGTTCCTTTTTACTTTAGGTTTTCGTTATGTTTTTCCAATTAGGTTAAGGATTTTTAATGACGGTTTAAGAGTTCTATATAAAGAACTCTCTTATGGTTTTTGTAGACAATTCAATTAATAAAGCTTTCAGTTTTTAAAGAGTTCTATTGAACACTGCAAAGAGTATTTGCACCCTCAAGAGTTCTAACGAACACTGNGAGTTCTATATAAAGAACTCTCTTATGGTTTTTGTAGACAATTCAATTAATAAAGCTTTCAGTTTTTAAAGAGTTCTATTGAACACTGCAAAGAGTATTTGCACCCTCAAGAGTTCTAACGAACACTGCGAAGAGTATTCGCGCCCTATCCATCGTTTCTTCAACCTCAAGTTAGGTTTATAGCTTCCGCTCTCCATCAAAGAGTCAGCTAAGATCACTGATCTGTATCGTTAGAGCAGCTACAGCAGAGGTTCATGCCAAAGTTCACACAATTCCCAAAAAAAAAAAATTACTATAATAATGAATAGGGATGAACCCCAGCTCGTGCAGGTTGTCTCTACTGAACCGGTTCATTGCTGTTTTCGCGGGCCCCACGCCACGTGGCGGCCCGCGATTGGTCCCTTATTTTTTTTTTTTTTTTTTTTTAAAAAAAAAAAAGTCAGACAAAAAAAGAGAAAAAGAATAAAAAAATAAAACTATGAACCCCACTATGGGTTTATTAGTGTGGATGCCCTTAGATCGTACATCTGACGAAAGAAACAAACAGATTTGATTGGGTTTCGATATTTTCCTGCATCTATAATATTGTCCATCTATTTTCTTTATGTTTATAGTTTAAAAAGGACATATAAAACTATATATATATATCTGTTATTCTTCCCAAGTTGACATCATTATCATCAAAACCTTAGAAAATTATGTGATCTAATGGTTTAAACAAAGAGTTTTTAGCACAACAACATTGTAAAAATACTAGGGGTGACGACAGACTCGGAAAAATTATCATCATAACGGGTAAAGAAATTTAATACGTCCATTTTTCCTTTAAAATGTGGTGTTCCCTGATTGATGTCATTAATATATTTATTTGTTAGAGTTTATGTCTCATGAAAGGCTCTACAACTTCATATACAAAGAAGCATGCCTTTTGGAAGTGCTCCAAACGTCATTACAAATCTTTGATAGAATGCAATATCTTCACAAACGAAACATTTATCATGGTAATCTATGTACCCAAAACCTTTGATATGATGGACAATGATAAGGTTATCAAGTTATTTTTTTGTAATTGGCTCCGATGTTTGAGGAAGCTATTAATTTCAAAGAAAAACTTGAAAACGACATGACTTGACCAGAAAAAAAGAAGCAAAAGTACCTCTCATCAAAGAGAACTTCGAACAAGCAAGCAAGTCCATGCACTCGGGTGCACATGGAAGCAGTAAACTTCAACGGGATAACAATCTCATAAAATATAAAAAAATGATTGAATAATAAGAACTATATTAATATGAGTTTTTTATACTTTACTATGTGATTGGTTCTTGCTCCTTTACTTAAACTAGGACCATCTTAGCCTTTAAGGTTTGAGATTCTGAAAAATGAAATTTGCTAGTATGATCTATTTTAGTACTTTGTGTGCCTAAGGAAGATTTTGAACTGTTTGTGTACATGTTTATAGTTTTAAATCTATTTAAACACCCACATTTCCACCTGCTCTAGTATGTTGCAAATTGTTTCATAGAATTTGATTAGAGCACAATTATGAATAAGCAGAGACAAAAAAAATCATTGGAAGAATACGCAGACACTTGTGTTTGGATGCAAATCATGCAATGGATCATTTAAGTCAAATGACACTTCATGCTCACACATTCGCCAAACAAAATGCAAATATTTGGAAACAGCCGCACTTGCCGATAACAAACTCTATTCCTCGCCGGAAAAGTAACAGATGGAGGTGGAGCTCTCGCTAACACTCTCTCGGTAATGGAGTCGGAAGTCCAAAACCACACTTTTGTAAAGTATCATATTCATATGTATTTGTATTATGTAGAATTAGCAAACTATATAACATTACAACATACTATATATTATAAATATTGTCTATAATAAATAAATCATATGTTTTTTTCATGATGGGAATTTGCACAATGTTCGTTGATTTAGTTTGCAATAACTTGCGGTTATCTCCAATACTATAGCTTTATAGACCTAGTTGCATAGTCCCATAAAGGAAGACATGAACATATATTAGCTGCAAAAAAAGAACTCAGACCGTATAAGCTAGAAAGTTCTTTTTAAAGTTAAATCACGTAACTGTGGAATATTATACTATAATTAAATGGAAAATATGAAATTTTAATTTCAACTAGTCGAAAGTTTTTAAGGAGCTAATGTGAAAGCTTACATTGGGGAATGAGAAATTAAATTTATTATATTAAGTACTCAAGAAATAAGATAATATTGTGAAGCATTTAATATTCTAGTTTCACCAACACAAACTATATGTATGTTTGTATATATACAACTGGAAAGAATCGTGAGATTAAGCGTGTACGAAGTGCAAACTTTGCCTTGATAAATCAGCATATACTTTAGAAAACTAACGAAGTGCCTAAGCCTATATATAGAATGTGGATACTTAACCACAAAGAAGTGCTTTAAAGCTGTCTTAAAGTTCGGGACACAAATTACAAAACGCAAAGGATGCACATGTATGAGTGAAACAGCTAGCTATCTTCCTTCTTATCGATTGTAAGCATATCTTCGTTCTATGGCTGATTCTCATTGCTTTTGCAGCGATTCGTACCTACAAAAACTCCTTCTTTCTAACATATATTCGTTTTTCTTTTCCAAAAGTTAGTATAATATTAAATAAGTGAGTTTTGATTTCCATTATTTGGTGTATAGCATCTTCTAATAAGAACGGAAACATTATTTGGCCAACTAATGATCAGATAGATACGTACCCTCAACTTTGTCTAGCGAAGTCATATATACAGTAGCCAAAGATCATATATACTAAAAAACCATGTAAATAGTAATTGAGAACTATATATAAACAAAAAAATTAGCAAAACAAATAAGATGAAGATATATTAATCCTCTCACTGACAGCTTTATGTAAACCCCATGTGAATTACTTGCTAAATTGTTCTGAAGGGATAACTTTTTCTTCCTTGTGAAGAGACATATTATTCATTTCCATGGGAAAATTATTAGTATATTGGACGTAGTAATAAACTCATTCGAAGCCTAAACTCTTTTTCTATGGCAGATCACTTTCGATTCGGTTATGATAAGTCTTTATTAGGCACGTTAATACGATATTAGATGTTTTTAGTCCAGTCGTTTATTTGTTTACATTGATTCACTAGAGTTGTGTATCTCGTATCACTTAGATATGATCCGATCCCTCAAAACATATACAATATAAGTATCCGGAAGCACTCAGTTAATTGAAGTGTTTTCGGTTTCTTTTCTGCATTTGTTATCCACAAATCATTATATTTGCCAAAATATAAACCAGTACCTGTTTGATATATCATTTGTGCGAGCAATAATAATATATGTATATAGAGAAAAAGCACATAATAAACTCGAGAGACTTAAACGAACTATGATTACATTTATTGGCATCACATAGAATATTACACACACATATTACACAAAAAGAACAAATATTCATCCAAACTACTACGTTTAAAAGAAGCTGAAGAAGAATAAAAAGAAGCTGAAGCTGATAGAATCAGTCACGAGTCTCGTGGAACCTTTTGATGAAATCAGTGGATTTCCGGTTAATAGCTGGTTCAACAACGTACCAATTATAGAAGTTGCCTTCACTATCTTCACCATACATCTCGTCGTCTGTTCCTGCCGGGTTTGATCTCTGTCTTCTCTTCCACCATGCCTTGAAGCTGCCGAAGAAGCTAAACAAGAAACGCCAAGAACCTCCCATTATAATCCTATAGAGAGGAATCGAAAATACGTTAGAGATATAGATATCTTGCTTGTATATATCTAAAGATGCATATAAGCATGTGAAGGGAACGTGAGCTCTGATGGTTTAGGGTTCAAAACACAAGGTCTCTCTTTATAGAAGGCTGGCCAAGTTGGAATCCTAGAGGAACCATGCACGAAACTCCCCCACCAACCAAAGATATAACTTTTCACTTATAATATATATACTTTTTATGTATTGTTAAAAAATTAGCGAGTAATAAAGACACATGCACTTGATTAGATAATTTTCGTAACAAATTTATGATAAAGTTTTTTAAAAAAAAATTATGATAAAGTTGATATAATAAGTTTAGTTGGTAAATATTATAGAAAAATAGTAAAAATGAGTAGAAAAATGTTTGTTTTCGCAAATTTATAGAGGAACAATTTTGTTATATAATGTTCTAGAAAAATAGTAAAAATGAAGAAAAATGATTGTTTTACGAAAATTTATAGAGGAACAATTTTGTTATATAATGTTCTAGAAAAATAATTAAAAATCTATATTATAATGATACAGTTTAAAGACTCTTTAAGGTGTTCACATAGGCAGATTGTGGGTCCCATATCTTTATATTAAAATAGATAATTTTTTAAAAATGGCTATAAACAAAGAATATCAGTTTAGCCAAGTGGTCTAAGGCCCCATGTTTGGTGCCCAATGGCATGGGTTCAATTCCCACTGCTCTCATGCATAAACCAATTAATGTCATCATCATAAAAATAGAATATAGTCAGTAGTTTTGTGGGTCCCGTAGATATTTTTTAAACATACATAGTCTTGGTAAGATGGTCACAAACAATGAAATACACTTTAGCCAAGTGGTATAAGGTGTCTAGTTAGTATGCAAGATTATGGGTTCAAACAACGCAGCTATCATGTATTTTTGATTTTATTATTTAGGTTATTATCATATGGGCGTTTTGTTTATAAGGTTCTTATGTTTTTTTTGGGCTTATTATTTTAAAGATCAAAATAGTTGTATAAACCCTAAACCTTAACAAGTTCAAACCCAAAATAGTTAAAAATGAATCCAAAACGAACAATAAAACAAAAAACAAGTCTCACGTGGTTGCCTACGCGCATGACTTAAAGAACCTTAAAACTATCCTATTATAATATAGCTCAACCCAAAAATAATAAAAAATAAATCCAAAAACGAACAGACAAAAAAAAACAAAACAAAAAGTGAATTCCACGCGGGTGCATACGTGGATGGCTTAATGAGGGTTGAATAATATAGATTAGGAGCTCAAAAAGTTAAATCAATGCACATATTTCCTAATATATATTTTCAAAAAACTTGTATGTGAGATAAAATAAAATAAAACAACAAAAATTAATTATTTTCGTTATTTATTAAATGAATATATAATTTCTCTTATATTTTAATAACTACTATAATTTCCTTGAAAACATTCCTCACCACCGATTCCAGACTCCGGCGAATGGATTCCCACAGTCGATAACGCCGTAGATAAAAATGCCACATCATTTATGAACAAAACTCAAACTTACAAAAAACTCTATATTTTAAAGTCTATCTAATGAAACTTAAACAACGAATATTAAGTTAATTAAGGTTATTTTCAAATTGATAAATCGTTTAATACAAATATAAATACTATAAATATAGAATTATATCAAGTTTTGACATACGATATAAAAACTATTTACAGCAAAAAAAACACACACCTACTTTTACACACTAAAAACTATATTATAGCCTAACTATTCCTATAAACCTTACTTCACATATAAATAATTTTTAACACATTCT